TCAAAACAGACTTTAGTTAAAAATGGCATTGTAGAAACTTGATCTCAATGAAATGACTGAAATTATTTCTGTAACAAACAGACAGAGCGATAACTATAGGCACTGCTGACCAGTCAACTGGGCCCTAATGATAAACAATTATCAGTATCTTTTAACACATGATTAACTTTAACCAATTTCTTTATAATTTTAAAGCACTTCATAACATCAAAATGTGAGAAAACACTTTCAGGAGTCCCTTTTGATCCTTTGTTTTAATTGCAGCTTCAACTTCCAAAATGCAGTGCCTGCATTATTCTTCTACCAAGAATCATTGTTTTGAGATGAGAATAGGATGTTTAAGCTTAAACTAAAGTTATTGTGAGAAAAAAAAAATCTGTACAGATAGACACACTCATACCATAGTATGACCAAAATATTTAGTTTTATAGAAAAGGGCCCATTTTTTTATTAAGAACAGTGCTGAAATTTGGCACTGATTCAAATATATATATGCAAAGGCCAAATAAAAATATGTGTGCGGTTCCAGTTACGGTATTATACACACCCCTACCGGAAGTTCACCATTTTCTTTGTTACGTTTTCAGTTAATTTTGTTGCATTCTGTTAAGAATTTGTAGCATTTCTATTGATACTTCTAATGGGAAATCAGATGACAGAAATCTGTGAATTTAATTATTGAAGTTCACATTCTTCAAAACGGGATCAGTCAAATTATATCTTTCAGAAATGCAAAAAAAGTTCTAGGGTCAGTGGGTATTATCTAGGGTTGGTCAGGTAACTGGAACTACACATATATTTTAATTTGGCCAAAGCTCTGTATAATGAAATTGAAAGTAGATTAATGGCCATTAAATGTCAAAAGTAGGTCAACTATTACATAGCTCACATTCAGCATCCTCCCTACCACAAATTAGAGGGTACCACACCCCTCCCTCTTCAGGCTGCATCCCTCTGCCCTCACACTTGAAAAAAATATTCCTTTGTTTGCCTTTCCAATGCCCCAATATCAGCAACATATCTTGACTAGCCCTGTCAAATGGCTTCATACAACATTTCTAATAATACTTTTTTATTCTAGACTAATTAGGCTTGATTAAGATAATAAATTGTGCAGATAATCATGATGATGATGGCATAATGATAAAATTATGTTGTTTTTTAAATGGAGTTATTTCCCCTAAAATGGGCTTTCTTTAACATGTTTAAAATGCATCCGTTTAAAATACATTTTTACTCATAATTTAAAACATAAACCAACTTATTTTACTTTTTAACTGCTAGAGATAATATTCATTTGAATGAAAATTGGGATGGATTTATCTTTTTTGTTTTTAAAAATACTTGGACCCACAACCAAATGATTTAACTATATCATGTGTATATAGTCCAGTTATACAAGATCTGCTCAGGTACTTAGGGCAATAAGATGCTCTGTAGGATCTAAATACTACTACTATTTAGATTTAGAGCATGAAAATGCAGAGTAGCAAGACACCTCAACTAAATTACAATAATTTTACATGGTAGATACTTTAATATCTAAATAAACTGTTATCAGAGAGATATGTCACGCCTTTTTGTAATTTTTATTATGCAAATGTTGAAATTAAAATAGCAATACTTTAACATGTAAGTTATGCAAATATTCAAAGTTGATGAACCATGACTGAAGGTACATGGCTAAACAATCTCCATGGTATGAGATGTGCCAATGCTAATACAACTGCATACCAAATACCATTGACTTATTACAAGTCGTTCCCTTTAAACAAACCTAAACACAAACATTAACTTGTAAACTATGTAAAAGTTTCAAAGTCAATGAACCATGATCAGGGGTGGGGCTATATAATCTCCATGGAAATGATACTTGCAAATGCCAATAAATTTGCATACCAAATATCATTGACTTAACATTAGCAGTTCATCTTAAACTGATCTAATCACAAACTAAGCAAAAGTTTCAAAGTAAATAGACCATGACTGAGGGGGCGGGGCCAAATATTATCCATGGAAATGAGATGTGCTAATGCTTATACAACTGAACACCAATTAACATTGGCCCACCACTAATGGTTCCCCTTGAACTGACCTAATCACAAACTAATACATTGTTGACGCCGCCATCGTCGCCAATGCCGGAAACTTAGCAAAATTTTCAAAGTCTATAGACCATGACTAAGGGGGCAGAGCCAAATAATCTCCATGGAAATGAGATATGCCAATGCTTATACAACTGCATACCAAATATCATTGACCTACCACTAGTGGTTCCCCATAAATTGACCTAATAACAAACTAATACATGTAAACTATGAAAAGTTTCAAAGTCAATAGACCTTGACTGACGGGGCGGGGCCAAATAATCTCCATGGTAATGAGATGTGCCAATGCTAATACAACTGCATACCAAATATCATTGACCTACCACTAGTGGTTCACCATGAACTAGACATAATCACAAACTAATACATTGTTGCCGCGGACGCCGGAAACAGCACACCTTTGTCTCGCTTTTTGACTCCGTCAAGGCGAGACAATAAATGACAGTATCTGGACCATAAAAATAATCCTTGAAAAAAGCAAGATAGTAAACAAAATTTTTTATTGGAAACTCGCATATCTCTGCAACATTTGTGCAAGAAGTTGAGGTTGTTTTAAAAAACTTGAGGTGCTAAAGAGCATGTGTCACATCTGTCGCTCAGGTATTTGAAATCAATTTTGTTAAGATTTCCCATTTAAAGCAACATAAATCAAAACAATTTCACATACATGTATCTTAAAATGTATGCAAGGTCTATTTAACATCCACAAGCTTTTTGTTTTGCACTTCCTTGAAATATTTTCGAAACACATAAAATAAAATGCTCCGCAGGGCACAGCTTGATACGACCGCAGAGGTCGAACCCTGAACAGTTGGGGCAAGTATGGACACAACATTCAAGCTTGATACAGCTCTGAATTTGGATTGCGATTAAATATTTGACACAGCATAGGTTTCTGACACAGAATGAATGTGGTCTAAGAACTTAAAAATTTTAAATTGGACATTCACCTATTATGGTCCAATATCCAAAATCTAAATACATGGTAAGAGTCAGCATATCAAAGAACCCCAAGAATTCAATTTTTGATGAAATCAAACAAAGTTTAATTTTGGACCCTTTTGACCTCAATGTGGACAAAGTTGATAATGGGGCCCAAAAATCAAAAATCTAAATACATGTTAAGTTTCAGCATATCAAAGAACCCTAAGAATTCAATTTTTGTTAAAATCAAACTAAGTTTAATTTTGGACCCTTTGGACCTTAATGTGACCAATTTGAAAACGGAACCAAAAATTAAGAATCTAAATACACGGTTAGATTCGGCATATCAAAGAACCCCAATAATGAAATTTTTGATGAAATCAAACAAAGTTAAATTTTGGACCCTTTGGACCTCAATGTGGACCAATTTAAAAACGGGGCCCAAAATCCAAAAACTTAATACAAGGTTAGAATCAGCATATTAAAGAACCCCAAGAATTCAAGAATAAAAAACCCCATTGAAATTAGTCAAGAAATAAGCAATTTATATGAAGTATCTTCTTTTGCACAATACTGTGCAATTGAATATTTCTTGCTATTGCGCAATACTGTTCAATTGACAATTTCTTGCTATTGCGCAATATTGTGCTATTGGATATTTCTTGCTATTGCACAATACTGTGCAATTGAAGATTTCTTGCTATTGCGCAATACTGTGCAATTGAAGATTTCTTGCTATTGTGCAATACTGTGCAATTGAAAATTTCTTGCTATTGCACAATACTTATTATATAATAATTTACACATCCTGTTTGGTGTGTATCTCCTACCATATCATTATTTTTTGCTTTTTAATATGAAACAGAAATAACCAACTTAAAATGGAAAATTTTAAAAGAAAAAAAAAAGGAAAAAAAGAAAAAAAAGGAAAAAAAATCCCCCCCCCAAATTTTTTGAACCCCCTTATGATTCATCACCACCAAACTCAATCCCAGCCTTCCCTTTGTGGTATGGTACCTTGCAGTACAATTTCAGAGAGATCCATACACTTGAACACAAGTTATTGTCATGAAACTAGAAAAATGCTTATTTTTGGCCCCTTTTTGGCCCCTTATTCCTAAACGTTTTGGGCAATTACCCCCAAACTCAATTCCAGCTTTCCCTTTGTGATATGGAAGCTTGTAGTACAATTTCAGAAAGATCCATACACGTACACACAAGTTATTATCATGAAACTAGAAAAATGCTTGTTTTTTGCCCCTTTTTTGGCCCCTAATTCCTAATATTTTGAGGCAATTACCCCCAAAATCAATCCCAGCATTCCCTGTGTGATATGGAACCTTGTGGTACAATTTCAGAGAGATCCATACACTTCAACACAAGTTATTGTCATGAAACTAGAAAAATGCTTATTTTTGGCCCCTTTTTGGCCCCTTATTCCTAAACGTTTTGGGCAATTACCCCCAACCTCAATTCCAGCTTTCCCTTTGTGATATGGAACCTTGTAGTACAATTTCAGAAAGATCCATACACTTACAAACAAGTTATTGTCATGAAACTAGAAAAATGCTTGTTTTTTGCCCCTTTTTTGGCCCCTAATTCCTAATATTTTGAGGCAATTACCCCCAAAATCAATCCCGGCATTCCCTGTGTGATATGGAACCTTGTGGTACAATGTCAGAGAGATCCATACACTAACACACAAGTTATGTCTGGAAGTTACAAAAATGCTGATTTTTGGCCCCTAATTCCTTAACTGTTGGTACCATAACCCCCAAAATCAATCCCAACCTTCCTTTTGTGGTATTGAACCTTATGGTAAAATTTCATAGAGATCCATTCACTTAAACTAAAGTTAGAGTGCGAAAACCAATGTGTCTTGGGACGACGCCGACGTCATACCAATATACGACCGCAAAATTTTTTTGCGGTCGTATAAAAATTAATCTCTAATCATTTTTAACTTACCTGTTTAATGAAGTTACTGATGACTGCCAAGGCACCCTTGACCTGCCGAGTATTGACATCATCTGTGGTACAGTCAGTCATTACTATACATACTCTCAACCGTCTTCATAGTAGTTTTCTTTCATCTGCAAACAATGGCAAAGCAAAATGTGAGTAATAGATCCTACCATTTGCTTGGTTTCAGCTTAGTTAACAAATTGCTTGCTTCAACACTTCATAACAGTCCACATGCAAATATTAAGGTTATAGGAATTCAAGTGTCTTTTTTTTAATCTATCAGGTGATACAAATTTAATATGTCCTACAATACATACATGTAGGTTTGATCTACATGAACAGCCAAACAATGAATTTGTAAGCTTTTATCAAGTGTTTATGCAGACATGGTACACTTTGTTTTGACTATTGTTCGATGTCAGACTTTTTATTTTGATTCAGTTTTAATCCAGGTTTGGGCAAATATTTCATGGCACTCTTGTCAGTCAACAAATCAAATTTATGTTTAACATTATTTCTGTTGTCAGTTTATGCTGCTTTTGTATATACATTTAAAGGTTATTCTTTAATAATACTTTGATCTTCAGAATGACTAAATGCTGTCTATTAAAAAGTGCTAAACAGTTTTTAAGTTTAACACTCCAGTTCTTATGTGCCCGATGATAGTGAGTGATGATTATGTGTACTGAGTGGGATATTTTGATTTAAAATTCAAGATATATGTATATATATCAAACAATAAAAACATGGTGTCAGTTTAAGCAGAATTTCAAACTGAAAAATATGAAATTTGGCAGACTTAACTGGCCAGTTTAACCATTTTATAAACTATGCTTGGAAGTTGATATCATATAATAACATACATCATACATCATATAAAAGTGCAATATTAAGACACAATATCATGTAATGGCCAAAGTGAATTGGAACACTGAACTATCTTGCATGTATAAGCAGTCCTTTTATTAAATTAACTTACGCTGACAATAATTGTAAGTAAGTAACAAGCTTGCTTGATTGTCTTTAGTCCTTTGTGGGGTTAAGCTAAAACACTAAGTGGTGTTTTTTGTTTTCAGTCAGGGGAGAGCATGAAGTTAAATTATCTAAAGAAAACCTGATATGTCTGTATCTCCTTTACCATTGAAAGTATACATTCACACTTCACAATTTTTGTCAGTAGAGGAAGTTACAGACATGACTCACTGACAGACTTGCAAGTGTTCTGAGCCAAGAAGGACTTCTGATGAAGACTGGTACTGCTTTGAAACAATATACAGGCCCATGTGGTCAATTTAGAAGTCCGCATGCAGAAGTCATATGATATCCCCAGAGTTTATTTTGTCAGTCACTGAAATTATCTAACCATGTTAACATTGGTTTACTATATTTCTAGGTGCTGGCATAAATCAACATGCTTTTTACTTCTTAGGAAAGATAGGAACCATCTACAAGTGGTAATTCACTAATATTGTGCATTTGATTGAAGAGTTAAAATCATGTATATTTTACACTAATAGTTAAGTGTGCAGGTATGGGGCACAGACAGGCCTAATTGGAATACAGATCATGTACAAGTATGTCACGAAATAGAAGTTCCTTCATAATATAAGTTCCAAATGGAATTAATATTCCGGAATATTATTTCCACTGGAATAAATATTACAGTATATGTTCCTAACGGAATAAATGGTATAGAATATTGTTCCAACAGGAACAGATATTATGACATTGTTTATAAAAAAGTTTCCAGTGGACCTTCTGTTAGGTAGAACAAATATACGTTGACAAATGAAGGGTCATTCAATGTAAATTTAAACAAATGATTCTTACTGTGATGTATTAACATTAACATTGTGACATTGGAAATGTTCGGAAAAATACACGAATATAAAAGTGGTCTATTGTGACAGAACCATTTTCCCTTCATTGTATTGTATACTTCAATTCATTTTTCTGACCATTCTATAAATGTTTTATAACTGAATCATTCCTACAAAAATGTGTGCAGATGAAAATAACTGTTGTCAACATATGCTAAAACTGATGGTCACATCTATGATCTAAGATCAATGTCCTTCAATCATCAATGTCAATTTCAGGGTCACTAGTGGTCATTCGACATCCCTATAAACTCATGAACAGTGATACTGAATCGAACCAATAAGTTTATACAGCTAATTCTTTAATCAATATTACGACAAACTGAATTTTAATGACTCTATTATAATATTTATAAATGTAAATAATGTGGGAAGATCGCACAAGTGAAAGGTAAACTTTTGACAGGTCATATCTGTAATTATCTAATGACATTATGGTTAAAGTGGGTGACTGTTTCGAAAAAGACTCAAAGAATTTATCGTGCAGAAAAAAATTGATAGAATGTAAACAAACAAAAGCATGCGACTATAATACGTGTTGTTTGTAAACCAACCAGTTTCAACTTCCTGCGCCATGTCATTATCGGTGCAAATGGGAAATCTCGCGGGAAAAAGACGCGGATTCGAATTACCTCTATCCTGGATGGTTCCAACCACGTGTCGTTTCCGATTTTAAACATTTGGTATTTGGTCAGAAGACCATTATTTACAATATTTAGCAAATGAAATATGGGAATAATACATGTAAAAGGGATTTAAACCTTCTTGTAGTTTCCAACAATAACATGAGCCACTTTAAAAATAAGAAGATGTGGTATGATTGCCAATATGAGACAACTCCACCAAAGACCAAATGACATAGAAGTTAACAACTATAGGTCACCGTATTGCCTTCAACAATGAGCAAAATCCATACTGCATAGTCCGCCATAAAAGGCCCCGAAATGACAAATGTAAAACAATTCAAAACTAACGGCCTGATTTTATTGATTAGTTTGTTACCTGTAACTTTTGATCTACTTTTACATAAAATAATTCTGTAAAGATTATGTCTCAAAGATGTTATGATAGACAAAACCCTTTCTTATGGACATAGACATATACATGTATATACATTTTATCACATTTATTAGTATTTCACTTGAGACAATAGACAAAATTCCATAACTTAAACCGTTGCTAATTACCTGGTGTAAATTCATCAAAATACAATAAAAATTAAATATATCAATCTGATTAAAAAAATTTCAGCATTAATTTTGCAAGTTACTTCTTCGGGTTTAGAATCCACGACACCTTCTGCGGTTTTATACGACGAACTATGTCTAAATCGTATATAGACATTAGTATCACTGGCATAAGAGCCGCGGACAATTAAGAAATTTTGCCCACCCCTCCTTATTTTTTGCATTTTTTTTATTGCAAACAAAACTTAATAATTATTGAGGAAACTTACTAACTGCTTCTTTTTCTTCTCACCTTCAGAAGTCCCTCTCACTTTTCAGTCTAGCTTCTCCTACTCTACTGATTGTAAAGCCAGAATGATTTTGTATCGGGCTAGACTTGAATTCTTGCAGTAAACTTGAAGGAATAAGTTATGTAGTATGATCTATCAATTGAAAGTCGGTGCCATGAGAAAGCCGCAACACGTCATTGTGGATAAAATACATTTGAAATCTTCATAAATCTGACTTAACTAACATTTTTTTAGAACAGTGGATCAAACAACAATTAAACGATACTGCAAGATAAATTTGAATAAACTTAGAACTCAAGCAAGACGTTCATAATATTGCCCCAAAACAATCAATTTTCGTATCTATAACACGGCGGAACATATTTTTGAAAGTTACTTAAATATCCTCGACAAAAAAGATTGTTATATGGTTTTATATTTCGAATGGTGAATATTATAGATTTCCGATATAATCTGCCGGACTGATGGTAAACTAAACCAATCAAGAGAAGAAAGAGTTAAGTGTGTTAATTGTGTAATGGAAATGACATTGGTGATTAATTTACATAATGAAATCAGCAAATATTTTGAAACTGAAAAGTAAAAACGTATCGACATGCAGAAATTGTTTTAATCAATTAAAATACTTTTAAGTAAGATGTCATGAATATAGTTCAATCTAATTAAAATTTATATCTATATTAACTCGCATGCTCGTATATAAGAGTATAACGAAATCAGAGATATATATTATAATTAGATTGGAATATAGTTCAAGTAAATGAAAATTAAAGAGATTATGTTCTTTCATAAAAATCATCAACAAAAAGGTTTTTCTCTTTTTTAAATCCCTTTTAATCTCATATTTTTCTCTATCGATACGATCGTACATATGCCATGGTTGATCAACTCAATCGATTCTATTACTTCAATTTAATAGGTGCACGATCGTATCAATCGGGTTTAATCGATACGATCGTGCCACCGTTGATCAACTCAATCGATTCTATATTACTTCCATTTACTAGGGGCACGATCGTATCAATCGTATTCAATCAATACGATCGTGTCACAGTTGATCAACCCAATCAAGTCTATAAATTTCTTGTTTGAAATAAAGTAGAATGAAGTAGTTGAGTCGTTTTTTTTTCCTGTTTCTGTACTGATTTGAAGAGTATGATGAATTGAATAGCCTTTCATATTATACTGAAGAGTAAATTAGACCGGCAGCTGATGTTCAATGTTTTCTCTCGATTGTAATGATCGTGCCTTCCATATAAGTGAAGGGTTAACACTTGATTGATTGATTGATCGATTGATTTTACTTCAAAACTTTAACTTGTATGACATAAATATGTTGCTTTCTATTTTTAAACTGTTCAGTGGAAACTTTTATTACAATTATTATCCAACTACATTATGCTGATTAACTTAAATGTTCATAGATGTGTAACATTTCTCAAATAACAAGTGAATATCCTGATGCCAATGAAAATATATATATCAACCTAAGGAAACCCTGTCTATTGAAGATGTACTGGCAACAACAGGATTTTCTGTTGCGGCCATATACTATTTATGTTGCTATAATTTTAAGCGGCGGTATGGAGTTTTTAAATCATATTTTAGCAGTTTTGTAAATACGTTCCAAAGGAGTGTGTTCAAGTATATGAACTTTTTTTATAGTTAAATATCATGTTTGACTTTCAAGTAACAACTTTGATTCGCGGCAGTTCCAGAGGAGTGCATTTACATTATGCCGCACGGTTTATGCTTTTTGATTGTTTGCTATTAATTTCTTTTTCTTTATAAAGGGTTGTATAAATTAGATCCCAAGAGTAAACGATCTGATGACAAACAACCTTCCTTTAATACTCAGTGTAATCAGAGACATATATACACATGTATATATGCCTCTGGTGTAATATTAAATTTCCCATTTTATGTACGTTGTGTAATTCTAAAAAAAATTAGTACTTTAGATATATCGGATCACTAAGTCCGTCTTCTGATCTTATCCACAAAGTACTGTGTCCAACGAAGTTTAACGAGAATTTCCGAGAGGATTTTCCAGAATGACGCCATATGCAAGGATAGCACAATGTGAATGTCACAACTTTTCTTCAAATTAGAGCTTATTGGCTGTGTTCATACAATAGACCATGTAAGTTTTTTTTCACTAATGACTCAAACTTTACTGATTCATCAAGACGGCGATAAATTATATGATCCGGTGAACCTTTCTGAATTTTCTTTCTTGCAGTTGCAACATGGCCAACATACCTCCCAAAATTATGAATTTTTAGATAAAGATGGAAAATACACTGGTCCGAGTAGCAGTTCCTGCCTATGTACTACTACATATAAGAGATGCGTGCCATTATTTTAAATCAAGTAATTGCGATAACTACTTTAAGGTTCATAACGTTACAAATGGACTAAAACTGATGTGTTTACATCTCGAAAATAATTACTTATACAGACAAACATTTGCAGTTCGAAAAGTTTTAAGGCTTAGCATTTAGCGTCCACTAGATACATAAAAGTTATATTCATTTTGTGTTTGATAACATCATAAATCTATCTGTGCATGGGTACACGGTAACACCAGACTGTCGTACATAAAAGTTGTAGAATCCGGGTCCGTTCGCGCCCATTCACGTTCGCCCCCTTTCACGTTCGCACCCCAGGTCCGTTCGCACCCTTTTTATTGATTTTGTCTTAAATAATTTTTCAATCGTATTTTGGTTAGTGTATGAGTAGGTGGAAAGGGTATTGGGAGACAGGGAGAAAGGGGGCAGGAGAAAGGGGGCGGGAGAAAGGAGAAAGGTACCCCCCTTTCCACCCCCTCAGTGTATTGCTATAAATATTTTTTTTGTTCATTGTTTTAAAATGAAGTGACTTTCTAAAAATGATTTTTGTGTTGAATAATTTTTTAATCGTGTTTTGGTTATTGTATTGCTATAAATAAGTTTTTTTTCATTGTTTCAAAACATGCAAAATAAAGTGACGTTTTTTGTGTTGAATATCTTTTTAATCGTGTTTTGGTCAGTGTATTGCTATATTATTTTTTTTTTCATTGTTTCAAAATAAAGTGACTTTCTAAAAAGGTTTTTTGTGTTGAATATTATTTAAATGTTAAGATACCAAACCGCTTTAAACTCAACAACAATAACATTTTGAATCTTAATTGTTTTTACTCATACCAAGTTAAATACATGCTACATGTAATATAACTACATGCAGAATTTACATCAAGTTTAGCTGTGTAAACACCATATATAATTAACAGTAATCATAAATAATTAATCATCAAATCAATTTAAAACAATATTTCATTTAAAAAATTCAAAAATTGCCGAATTTTTCTTTATTTTGAGATAAACATCTTAAAAAACATCTTATAATTCATCGGGTTTTTGAATTAAAAAAAAGGGTGCAAACGGACCCAGGGGGCGAACGTGTATTGGACGCGAACGGACCCGATACCAAAGTTGTATGTCACCGGATATATGTATCCAATATATTTTGCTCCATTTATTTAACATTTTATGTTATTTGTGTTTTCAGTGTTATATGTTTCACATTCATATCATATTAATATTTCATATTCATTTTCCACTTGACGATTGACGACAAATAGTTTTGCACTGATTTAGAAACAGATTATAGCTTTGTATGCTACTGTTCATGTATGTTTGGCTATGAGTACTGAATATTTAAATCACGGCACAAGTATTTAAATTAGTACTGTAGGAAGTGAATGCGATACTATATTAATATTTAAATGATATATATTTATATACAAATAACATGAGCTATGCATGAACTCAAAGCGCGGCAATACTAACCATATATATATACTACATTGTAATAAGCACTTTTTGAGTTAGTCACTGGTCAATATATATCAGGAAGGGCGGATGATGAGAGTTGCCGCTACAGGTACTTGTAAATTTATTTATTCTTTTAGTCATGTTTAAATGTTTCAAATGTTTCAGTTAATGCAAAGATATTTTAGTATTTCAAATATAGAATTCAGTTTGGCTTGAAGGCCGCATTTTGGTATATTAGTAAATGACAGAATATAGCCCTGTTGCATGTGAATATTTCAGTTATGTATATTGTTCATATTTATTGGAACACATTGTAAACTTGGTTTACAATTTTGTATTTACAGATACTTATAATAAAGTACAGTTATTTGGACGACTCATTTTATGCAGAAAATGACCCACAATTAAAACCACGCCTTTAGTCTTTGTGGTTTGGTGACAATATCTTCACCCAGTTTGGCGATAGATTTGCCATCATTTTGTGTCCCATTTTTTCTGCGACATGTATGTATTCATTTTGTGTTTGAATAAAATCATAAATCTGTGCATGGGTACACCAGACTGTCGTACATGTATTCACTGCGTTAGAATAAAATTTGTTTGGTAAAGGACTTTGTTTCATTGTTTCTGTAATGTGAATGGAAATTTAAAAAAATAGTACTGTGACAGACATGTGACGGACTTAGTGTGTTTTGGTGAATTGTTACCTAATTGTTACATTGGAACTAAACTAGGACACAATCAGGGTTCCCCCTTTGTTATTTTCAAAATAACATGAACATGCAGTTTCCTGTTGATCAATCAATATAGCCACTGTTACTTAAAATAGAACATAAGAGTTACATCATACATTGTAAATAAATGAATTTTAAAAATGTTGAAATACATAGCTATGGAATATATTGAAACCAGGTCCGTTCGCCCAAAATCACGTTCGCTCCCATTCACGTTTGCCCCCTTGCATGTTCGCACCCCACTAGTTCACACCCTTTTTATTGGTTTTTGTGTGGAATAAATATTTAATCATGTTCAAGTTTGTGTATTGCTGTATATAGTTTTTATACGACCGCAAAAATTAAAAATTTTTTGGTCGTATATTGGTATGACGTTGGCGTCGTCGTCGTCGTCGTCGTCGTTGTCGTCGTCGTCGTCGTCGTCTGGCGTCGTCCGAAGACACATTGGTTTTCGCACTCTAACTTTAGTTTAAGTGAATGGATCTCCATGAAATTTCACCATAAGGTTCAATACCACGAAAGGAAGGTTGGGATTGATTTTGGGGGTTATGGTACCAACAGTTAAGGAATTAGGGGCCAAAAAGGGGCCAAAAATAAGCATTTTTGTAATTTTCAGACAATAACTTGTGTGTAAGTGTATAGATCTCTCTGACATTGTACCACAAGGTTCCATATCACAAAGGGAAGGCTGTAATTGATTTTGGGGGTAATTGCCTCAATATTTTAGGAATTAGGGGCCAAAAAAGTGGCAAAAAACAAGCATTTTTCTAGTTTCATGACAATAACTTGTGTGTAAGTGTTTGGATATTTCTGAAATTGTACTACAAGGTTCCATATCACAAAGGGAAAGCTGGAATTGAGTTTGGGGGTAATTGCCCGAAACTTTTAGGAATTGGGGGCCAAAAAGGGGCCAAAAATAAGCATTTTTCTAGTTTCCAGACAATAACTTGTGTTCAAGTGTATGGATCTCTCTGAAATTGTACTGCAAGGTACCATACCACAAAGGGAAGGCTGGGATTGAATTTGGGGGTGATGAATCATAAGGGGGTTCAAAAAATTTGGGGGGGGAGATTTTTTTTTTTTTTTTTTTTCTTTTTTTCCTTTTTTTTTTCTTTTAAAATTTTCCATTTTAAGTTGATTATTTCTGATTTATATTTAAAAGCAAATAATAATGATATGGTAGGAGATACACACCAAACAGGATGTGTAAATTATTATATAATAAATATTGTGCAATAGCAAGAAATTTTCAATTGCACAGTATTGCACAATAGCAAGAAATCTTCAATTGCACAGTATTGCGCAATAGCAAGAAATCTTCAATTGCACAGTATTGCGCAATAGCAAGAAATATCCAATAGCACAATATTGCGCAATAGCAAGAAATTGTCAATTGTACAGTATTGCGCAATAGCAAGAAATATTCAATTGCACAGTGTTGTGCAAAAGAAGATACTTCGTATAAATTGCTTATTTCTTGATCAATTTCAATGGGGTTTTATTCTTGAATTCTTGGGGTTCTTTAATATGCTGAATCTAACCGTGTATTAAGTTTTTGGATTTTGGGCCCCGTTTTTAAATTGGTCCACATTGAGGTCCAAAGGGTCCAAAATTTAACTTTGTTTGATTTCATCAAAAATTGAATTATTGGGGTTCTTTGATATGCCGAATCTAACCGTATATTTAGATTTTTAATTTGGGGTCCCGTTTTTTAAATTGGTCTACATTAAGGTCCAAAGGGTCCAAAATTAAACTTAATTTGATTTTAACAAAAATTGAATTCTTGGGGTTCTTTGATATGCTGAATCTAAACATGTGTTTAGATTTTTGATTATGGGCCCAGTTTTCAAGTTGGTCCAAGTTGGGGTCCAAAATTAAACTTTGTTTGATTTCAACAAAAATTGAATATATGGGGTTATTTGATATGCAAAATCTAAACATGTATTTAGATTTTAGATTTTTGGCCCAGTTTTCAAGTTGGTCCAAATTGGGGTCCAAAATTAAACTTTGTTTGATTTCAACAAAAATTGAATATATGGGGTTCTTTGATATGCTGAATCTTACCATGTATTTAGATTTTTTATTTGTGGGCCTGCTATCAAATTGGTTCATATTGAGGTCAAAAGGGTCCAAAATTAAACTTTGTTTGATTTCATAAAAAATTGAATTATTGGGGTTCTTTGATATGCCAAATCTAACTGTGTATTTAGATTTTTAATTTTGGGTCCTGTTTTTTAAATTGGTCTACATTAAGGTCCAAAGGGTCCAAAATTAAACTTAGTTTGATTTTAACAAAAATTGAATTTTTGGGGTTCTTTGATATGCTGAATCTAAACATGTGTTTAGATTTTTAATTATGGGACCAGTTTTCAAGTTGGTCCAAGTTGGGGTCCAAAATTAAACTTTGTTTGATTTCAACAAAAATTGAATATATGGGGTTCTTTGATATGCTGAATCTAAACATGTATTTAGATTTTAGATTTTTGGCCCAGTTTTCAAGTTGGTCCAAATTGGGGTCCAAAATTAAACTTTGTTTGATTTCAACAAAAATTGAATATATGGGGTTCTTTGATATGCTGAATCTTACCATGTAT